GAGGGGAGGGTGGCATGTGATGGAGCCGGAGTAGTGTTCAGCCAGTTTGAAGAAAAAAAAAATCAAAACCAAACCCAACCAAAAAAAAAAGGCAAGAGGGGGATGTGAGGAAACACGGAGAACAGCTCCTCTCCTGCCCTCCAGAGCACGGAGTTAAACCGGGGGGTGGTCTGGACGCAACACCTCTTTCCCTCCTCCGGGCAGAGCGGCAGCCCCAGGGCCTTCCCCAGCCCCCGGTGTGCCCCCGGGCACACGCCCGCCCCGGGCGCTCCCCGCTGTCCTTCCACCGCGCCCCGGCGGGGAGAGCAGTTCAGGTGGCGGTGCGATGCCATGGCTGAGGTCCATGCGGGCAGCAGCGTCCTCGGCGCTCTGCCAGGCACAGTTGGGATGGGCACTGAGGCGGCCGAGCTTCGCGCTCCGGCCCCCGGCACAGTCCGGCTCCCGCCTCCCTTATAGGAAACCCTCCTTCCGGAACTGCTCCTTCAGGATGTCTCTGTACTGGTCGAAGCCGCCCTCGATGCGGGTCACGGTGGCGTTCTCACACACCCACAGCTCCTGGCACACCAGGCGGATGAAGCGCTCGTCGTGGGACACCAGAATCACACCACCCTGCCAACACACAAAGGGGGAAAGAAGGGAACTTAGTGGAGCACAACCCTGGTGCCAGCGCTGCCAGGTCCTGCGCCCCCATCCAGCCTGTGCCCAGGACCTCAGGTTTCCACCCACTCCAGGGAAAAAGGAATGATATTTCACTAGCAGGGACTTAATGTCAGCCTCTCCTTCCTTCAGGGGAACAGACAGACCACGTACGGAGGTGGCATGCGCAGCAGTAACGTATTTAGCCTCCCTCCGAGGGCAGTGCAGTGTTTGTTACTGGCTCTCCACGTCTCTGACAACTTCAAGGATGGAGATTTCTGGTGGAGTCAATAGCAGTCAAAAGGTGGCTGGGCAAGGCCCCCAGCAACCTCAGTTAAGCTTTGCTTTCAGAGGAAAACTGCCCCAACCTGAGCAACTATAAACCAGTGAGAAAAAGGTTGATCACAGCGGTATCTGGAGGCTGAGTTTTTGGAGATCAGCCATAAAATGTGCCTAAAGAAGATCCAAGTGGTCCTAAGGCTGGGCTGAGTGCCACATGCAGCACATGAGAAGTCACAGGGTGTAGGTGACCGGATGAGGGACAAGGTGCTCTCTGGTCTGCTGTGGCCTCTCCTGGCCACCCTGAGCCAAAGCCAGCCAGTGAAACAAACCACGAGGATGGTCGGCTAGGGCAGCAGCATATCCAACTTCCCAAATTCTGCCCCAAACTTGAAGCCACCACTGGTATTCGACCATCCACCTCTGGCTGAGACACCAAGTAATGAGCTGGAGGCTGCACGAAGAGTTATTAGAAACATGGGAGATCTTGCCAAGGGAACCTTACCCGGAATTTATTCAGTGCCTTTGCCAGTGCCTCGATGGTCTCCATGTCCAGGTGATTTGTTGGCTCATCCAGGATGTAGAAGTTTGGACTGGAAGAGAAGACAGCTCTGAGCAGGCACTGGAACAGGTACGCACCCCATCACACTACAGCAACCTCTGCCCGGCTGCTGCTCTAGCCAGGCAGGGCCACAGCCACCACCATGTGCCTGGCCCCAGGATCGGCACTGCCCAGCTCCAGGGACACTTATCCTCGTGAGCCCAAAGAAGTAGCAGAAAGCCATCTGGCTCCTTCCACACAGTCCCCCCAAGGTGACAACCTCCCTCCCCACAGAAGTCCCAAGGACGAGGCTTCTGCAGGGCAGCAGAAAGTCCCTGGATGCCCACCTTCCTCCCGGTGAAGCAGGCTCCAGGGATGGAGCCATGCAAAACCAAACAGCATCTGGGAGAAAATTACCAGGACATAGTCATCTGGGCAAAGGCCACGCGACTCTTCTGACCTCCAGACAGGCTGGCCACGGGACGCACGGCCAGCTCCCCCGAGACGCCGTAGCTCCCCAGCTGGTGCCGGTACTCCTCCTCTGTCTTCCCTGCAGGAGCGTGTTACCACACAGCCATGGCACACCCGGCGTGCCACAGGGCCTGCAGTGCTGCGGGCTGGGTGGGCACCGTGGCTGGGCAGCCTCTGCCAGACCGGGACGGTGCAGGAGCAATTCAGGAGCCACGTCCAGGCAATGCCCTCCCAAGCAGGGGGTTTGTGGGGAAAACCTGACTGACACCATGGGGACAGGGGCTGCAGGACTAGGGACTGACTCCCGGTGACGCTGCCCCCAATTCCCCATCACCGCATTACGTAACGTCCAGCAGCGGAGAGGGGAGACAGAGGTTTTGACAGCTGGGAAAGGGGGAGCTGGTGCTTATTCTGTGCCCAGCAGGAAAGTGGGTCATCTGCCCCCAAAACCCAGCCACGGTGGAGCACCAGCCTGAGGTCTGCAGCACCAGCTACCCCTGCTTCTCGTGGCTGGTGTCCTGAACTTGGCTGGACGTGGGGCTTATCCCAGAGCAGGCGGTGTCCCTTAAGCACTGACATGACAGAGCCTCCTGCCCAGGGCCACAGAACAAATCAGTGCTGCTCTACGCCTGGCAAAGGAGACCTCAATGGCCCAGATCTCCTGGGATCTCCAAAACTCACCCGGGAACTTCCTTGCCAGTAACTCTACAGCACTGATGTTCAAATCCAGTTGATCCACATGGTGCTGGCTGAAATAACCAATCTTTAGGTTTCTGCAGAATGAGAAGAGAGATCGGGAGCTGGTACCAGGCCCTGCAACCACGGCACTCACGGCTGCAGCTACGGGAAGGAGGACATATGTGTGGGTGTGCAGGGCCCATCCCCACCGCTTGGACAGCCATCACTCCAAAGCACAGCCCAGCAGCACCATTCCTCCCAGTCCCCTAGCCCTTCCTCCCAGGTACCTGTGAGCATGTCTGATCCCTCTGACTGGTGCCAGCTCCCCCATTAAGATCTTTAGCATGGTCGACTTGCCAGCTCCATTTTCCCCAACCTAGAGAAGCAGCAGCAGCATTGGAAAACGTGAAACCCATGAAGGCACTTTGGAGAAGGGGGCAGGGATCAGGGAATTTCAGCTCTCTTGGAGGATCACGCAGCGGAGAGGGGCAGGATGAGAGTCTTACCAGTGACTCCAGCTACCTGGAAGCTGCATTTCTATCACTGATGAGCAGCACAGGCAGCAGTGCTAGCTGTTCCCTCTCCAACCCTTGAGCCTAAGGATTACCTGCTCCCAGCCTTATTTGCAAGCAGAGTGTCTCTCTGCTGTCCATCCAATGTAGCAGGAGCCCCCACTACACGCTGCTGTTGTCAGCTAACGGGGACTTACAGAGAAGATGGACCCAGACTCTTCTCAGAGGTGCCCAGTGAAAGGATGAAGGGCAGCAGGCATGAGTCACAAATTCTAACTGGTATTAGGAAAAATGCTCCAATGTTCCTCAAAATGAGGATGATCAAATGCTGCAATGGGACCCAGAGGAATGGAAGAAATAGTCCCCCACTGGAGATAGCCAAAATTCAACTGGTCCAGGACCTGAGCAACCTGACCTAACATCAAAGCTGGCCCTGCTTTGAGCAGGGGCCTCCCAAGGTCCCTCGTAGCCACCATTACTCTGTGATCCCACATACCACACAGATACGGGACTCCAGGTCAGCAGAGACAGAGAGGGAACGGAAGATGTAGTGACTTGGGTCGTAATAGAAGTCTACTTCGTCTAGCTGCAGGATTGGGGGGGAGAATTTCTCAAAGCCGTCAGGGAACCTGGGAAGGCAGAAAGAGGCAAGAGATGGCCAGGAACTCCAGAGATCCGGCTCCCAGTCCCCCAGGACAACCTCTGCAACCCCCAGCTGGCAAGGGGGGGTCCCTACCATGCAGGGCCTCTGGGAAGGATGGTCTCAAGCAGGGGACATGGATCGGCAGCCTTGGCCCCAGGAGGGAACCCAGCCTGAATGAGGGGGCCTGTCGGGCTCCCTGTCGGAGTAAGGCTGGCCCGCAGGAAGGGGTGGTTGTCCCAGCCAGGACAGGACCCAGGAGGAGCTCACATCAGAAAAAGGGGCAGGGGCCCTCCAAGCAAGGGTTCAGGGGACACTTACTTCATGATCACCTCAGATTCCTTGTCCACAGGTTTCAGCTCCGGCCTGGAAGAAAGGGAGACACATAACAAGGGTGCCTTGCACTGGGGGTTTGTTCCCATGCCAGAAGCCCAAATAAAGTCTTCAGTTCTGTAACACCTCATCCTAGCCAAAGCCTCTGGACCACAGACAGAGAAGCCAAAGCCCAAAACACCCCTGTATCTCCCAGGCACCCTGGAAACCTCTGTTTTTTTCCCATGAGCACTGCCCCTTCCCAGAAAGCAGCAAGACAGGCACTCACAGCTTCTCCAACAGCTTGAGCTTGCTCTGCACTTGGGATGCCCGGTTGGCATTGTAACGAAAGCGGTCAATGAAAACCTGCAAGAGAGAAAAGCATCAGAGAACTGTAGGTCCCCTTCAGCCCCAGCCACCCCACCCTGCTGCCAAACCTCCTGCACAATACAGCCACGTCCACGGGTCTAGAAGCGTGGAGAGAGGGACAAGGCTGGGAGAAGAGTTCCCAGCACTACTGGCTTCTCCCAGTACCTGGATGTGTTCACGGTACTGCTGCTGGGCTTCGTACTCTCGCTGCTGGTTCTTCAGCCGCTCCTCCTTGATCTTCATGAAGTTCTCAAAGTCTCCACGGTACGTGTCCAGCCGCTGCGAGTGCAGGTGGATGATGTCCGTGGCCACCGCATTCAGGAAGTTCCTATCGTGGGACACCACTAGGATGGTCGACTGCCAGGTCTGGAAGAGACAGCGCGAGGGAGCCTGAGCATCATCAATGCAGGGCGCAGGGCTTGGCCCCAGCACCCGGCGAGGTGAGACACCAGCCTGGAGAACATCTCCATCCCTCACCTTTGCTCAGGGCCCTCCCACCACCCCCCTACCTGCAGGTAGGTCTCCAGCCACAAAATGGCCCTCACGTCCAGCATGTTCGTTGGCTCTGAGGGAAGGGGAAGAGACACCGAGGTCAGGGGCGATGAGGATGGCTGGATTACGCTTTTTACCCAGGAAAGGCTAGCGGTCAGTGTTGTGGAGGAAAAGACCCTGCATGGGGCCTTCCCCCCCCAGTTCAGCGGTCCCATGCGTGTAGGGTGTGATGGGGTGTGGGCATGGGGGCCGAGGCTCAGCCAGGGACACTCCCCCCACTCCACACCAGTACCCAGACCCTGATGCCCAGCAGCAGCGTCTCACCCAGACCCCCCACCCAAGGTCCCTGTGGTGAAGGGACTCCCCCCAGCGCAGGCTGGCAGCCAGGGCACATCACAGGGACAGGCAAGGGAAAGGGACCACTTGGGGCAGGATGACACTTAGACCACCCGGCTGAGGCAGTGGCAGAGCTCTGCTGAGTGCAGTGAGACTCCCCCACAGCACTGCCAGCTCTGCCCACCCTGCCAGGGCAGCACTGCCAGCCCTGCCAGCCCAGCCCCTCGCACAAGGGCTATTTTGAGCTGGCAGCTAAAGGCCATGACACGTTTGCAACGCCAGCAAGAGCACAGGCAGGCCCAGCAGCAGCGTCAGAGGGGACTCGCAGTATCAACTTACCATCTAGCAGAAGGAGATCCGGCCTAGGAAAAATAAGACATGGGTATCAGAAGCAAAAAGAGCACAGGGTCAGTGCAGAATGCACTTCACTCCACACAGAACTGCGATGCCTCCAGTGCTCCCACCCTGAGCCTGAGTCGAGAGGACCCCTGGGCAGCAGCCCTGCACCTCGCAGCAGGGACAGCAAGGAGGGTTAATCCCATAGCATGAAGGCCTGGACACTAACCTGGCAAACAGGGCTCTGGCTAAGGCCAGTCTCATTCTCCATCCTCCGGAAAACTCTCTGAGGAGAGAAGAGGTTGCAGAGAGGGGTTACTGTTTAATGCAGAACAGCTCCGTGTTTGCCTGCCTGCCAGGCTCCCTGCCTCCCGGCAGCCCTTTTGGCTCTGTAGGCACCCAGAGACAGCTTGTCGCTGCAGAGATCTTGGGCACAGCGTGAGATCCATGGTCCAGTGCCCTTCCAGAGCATGAAACCACATCAGATGGGCCGGAACAGACCCTCGCTCTCCCACAGGGCTCCCCTCCCTTACACCCACAGCAGTGCCTGGGGGCTCGCTAGGAACAACATCTCCCCAGAACCATTTCTGTCTCGATGCCCAGAGCTTGAAGACTTACTTGGTTGTCTGTTGTTGCATCTTTGCATTAAAGCCCAGCCCAGCGAGAATGACGGATGCCCTGGGGAAAAAAAGGGAGAGAACTGGAATCCAGCTACAGCATCCAATGCCAGAGCACAGTCTGAGGACTTGGACCCATGGCCACCAACGGGACTCTGCTGCATGGTTTAAAGCCATTCTGGTGCCGGAAAACTTCCCTGCACACCCAAGAGCAGTGCTTGGCTGGGAAATGCAGCCTAGTAAGGCACAGCATCCACGTGAAGTCCCAGGAGATTTGAAAGAAGTTTTCAGCAATTTGGTCAGGAAAGAGGGTCACTACCAACATCCCAGAAACACTCCCCAGACACCAGGATCCTGGGGAGGTCCAAGAGGAGCAGCAGCAACAACACAAGCCATTTGGGGCAAAAAAAATTCCTCCAGCTTCCGGAGGAAGCTTGACTACTCCTAACCCAGCAGAGCTGTGACAGAAGAGACAAGAGCAGTGGGGAGAGGCCCCTGTCCCCGTGTCGTGGCTTAAAGGGAGCTGAAACCAGGAGACCCCATATGCTGGATCCAAGGCATCCCCCTTCCATGCCCCACACCCCAAACCACTGCCCAGCTCTGGCCATGCCAATAGACAGCAGTGCCCACAGGGCTGTCTCACCTTGCTGGCGCCTTGTCTGCCTCAATCTCCTCCAGCTTCGCGTAGATCTCTGATAGCCTGGCACCTTCTGTCCCTTCTCCCCTGGGACAGGACAAAGAGGAGTGTGTGGGACTGACCAGGGTCAGGCTTTGAGTGCTGGGGGAGGCTGATCTCCCCATGCAAGACTAAGGTGGACAAGATACAGCCCAGGGCTGCCAGAGCCCTTCATTTGAAGGGAGAAACCTCAGAATGAGACCTTGTGGTCAAGAGACCATAGAAAGGCTGGAAACCCAGTGGCAACATCTCACCTGCCAGCATTAATCTTAGCTGTCAGATCCCTCTCCTCCCGCAGCAGGCTCTCACGAGTGGTGTCACACTCCAGCACACTCTGCAGCGCCGGCGTCTCGTCCCCCGCCACCTCCTGCTCCACGTGCAGGATGCTGATGTGCGAGGGGATGCGCAGGCTCCGGCTGGCGATCATCTTCAGCAGCGTGGTCTTCCCCAGCCCGTTCCTGCCCACCAGCCCGTAGCGCCGCCCAAACGCCAGGTTCAGGTCTGCTCCCGCCAGGAGGACACTAAAGCAAGAGAACAGGGGGGTACCTGGTCAGACTGACCCACGGAGAGGCAGGTGACTGGCACCCACCAGACCCCAGCACATTTCAGGCTGTGCTGGAGTCAAGAAACCATCATGGACTTCACCAGCCCAAAGCCAACAGGGTCAGGTGCCCACCTTGCTTTCTGATCTTTCTCATACCCTCTGTAATTTCTGAACCATCTCCAGTCCAGTCTCGATCCCCCATGGTCCAAAACCCCAGCCAGGATCTGTCTCACCTCCCCACCTGCACTCACCGCTCACCGAAGGACACATCGAAGTTCTCGATGCGCACATCATACGACTTGTTCTTGCCTGATGACTCCATGCGAGTCTCCTTCTTGCTGGCAGCTTGGCTGGCAGATGCCTCCTCAAGGACCCTGCGGGCAGGCAGAGACAAGAGAAGAGGGCTCAGCAGGAAAGCTCTGGTACAGCCAGATCCCAGCCACGCTCAGCAGAAGGGATAGGGACGTTTGAGGCTCCCTCCATACTCACAGAGGGCCAGATGACTTCAGGGAATCCCGCTCCATCCTCTTGTCCTGCTTGGCTTTCAGCCTGGCTTCCGCCTTCTCCAGTTTCTTGGCATTCACCATCTGGGGCACAAACCAGAGACTTTAGAGAGGAGAACACATCTTCAGCAAAAGCCCCAACTCCAGGAGACAACAGATTGATGAGCCCCTCACACCTGGAAGGAAGAGAGGTAGGACAGGGGAACTGGGGCAGATTTGGGCACATTTTGAGGAAGCTAATCATGCCAAGAAGTCACTTCAGGAATGAAGTCCTAAATCAACTGTTCATACACAACAGTTCTGCCTCAGCAAGGCAAAGGGTTTGGCTGACCCTAACATACGGCCAGTTTCTATAGTTCCAGGGACCTGGGTCAGCCAAATCACTTCACAGCAGCAACCTGCTACACCCTGCACCCACCCTTGCCCTGGACCATGAGGTGTTTCCCTTCTCGACACGTTAAACTTTAGCCAGTTTGGAACAAACTCAGCTTACGCAGTGGATCAATCACGACAGAGACAAAAAGCATTTAATTAAACGTGAAGGCAAGAAGGAGCCAAGTGTTTTAACCTGGCCTCTGGTCTTGGCCAGGCTCTCAGCCCACTCCAGCTTATTCCTGCGTCAAGTCAAATACTTGTGGCTGACCAAGAACACTCCTAGATATTTCTAGGTGACTCTGCAGCCACTGGAGCATGTTACAGACTTGCACGCTAGACTGAAGAGCGTCTTGTTACTGGAGCTGTGACCCCATACCTACAGACAAATTGAGTCATTCTGTAAACTATGCCAAGCTCCCTGAATCTCCCAGTAAGATATGTCCTCCAAAACTTGAGAGGCCTCCCAAGGCCTCCTCTGAATCGTCTCCAGTTTTTCTGAAGATCCTTTTTGAGTTGTGGGCACGAGAGCCAGAGAGTGAACCCAGCAGCAACAACTCTGATGCCAAAACCAGCAAAAGCTGCCAGCTTTCACTTAAAACTCCCATTCAGACACACAGGGATCACGTTAGGTCTCAGCCTCCAAGCAAGGGGCTCTGGTCCTTTTGCCCCAGGAAAGGAGAGCTCTATATGAGACCAGCCCGGTAGAGAGACTGCCCACCCTGCAGAGCTACCACTGTCCTTGATTTGCAGATGCACAGCTGCACCTCACCTGTACTCAAACTTTGGCACAGCCAGCACAGAGGGCAAGCCAGGTCGCTCCTGACCAGCTACACATTTCATTGGTAAAGATGTTCTGATTTCTTTCAGGTCACAGAGCGTCACTGCTTCCAAACTTCTCCGCTCCTGCTCTTATTTCCCAAACCATGACAACCCATGGCCATTTCTAAAGCTGGGCTTACAGCCTCCTCACAGCAGCTCTCTGGAAAACAGCTGCTCCCTGGTAACTTCCCACCAGCAACACCTCAACATCTAACCATTAGCCAGGATTTTACCTCTCATTGAATATGGCAAGATGTCATCCCAGTACATCCTATTTTGTTAGAGGCCTTGCTGTCAAAGCCGCAGGTCCCTGTGAAAGTCAGAGAAGCTGCACTCTGAGCACCATCACTGCATCACAGAATCATTTGGGTTGGAAAAGCCCCTTGGGATCATCGAGTCCGACCATCAGCCCTACTCTACAAAGTACTCCTCTACACCATATCCCCTAACATGTCATCCAAATGACCCTTAAACACATCCAGGGACGGTGACTCCACCTCTCTGGGCAGCCTGTTCCACTCTTTCTGTAAAAAAATTTTTCCTAACGTCCAGTCTAAACCTCCGCTGTTGGAGTTTTAAGCCATTCCTTCTTGTTCTGTCACTAATTACCTGTGAGAAGAAACCAGCACCAACCTCTCTACAATGTCCTCTCAGGTAGTTGTAGAGCGTGATGAGGTCTCCCCTCAGCCTTCTCTTCCTCAAACTAAACAGTCCCAGTCAACCACACTTTGAAGCTCATTAAGAAATTACAGCAAAATAGATCTTGTCAAAGTAATAAACCATTAACTCCTACTGACCCTCTTTACCAGACCAAGGTCAAGAGTTTCCCAAATTACAGTGAACCTGACAAGAGGTGCAGCAGTACCCCTGCACTGTGTCCCTAACCAGGATGGCCGCCTGTCCCAGCTGCTGTCCGAGGGCGAGGTGACGGGAGCAGATCAGGGCGTTAGTTTCTCCCACCGTATCTGCTGGCTTCCGAACGAGGGGACGGTCCCCCACTTACCGAGGTCTGGCCTCTCTTCAGCAACAGCCCCGGCAGCAGGTCCACACTGGTATCTGCTGCAAGAAGACGGTTGGGTTGGTGAGCACGTGCTCCAGGGAGGCTCCACAAAACACTGCCTTTCCAGCTGCCCACAACCGGGCAGGACTGTTCCCTGTCCCAACAGCACGAGGGAACCAAAGTGGCTCCTCTCCTTCCCTCCCGCCTTACCCTGTGGGCAGCCAGGCGCTGCTGGCCACAGCTCAGCAGCAGGAAGAGAAAGGGGGGTGCAGCTGTGAGGGGCAGCCCGAGGGGAACCGCTCCCCAAGGTCCCCCCCATGCACGCTCAGCGCCCCGAGCCCGTCCTCGCCGCTGATGGCAGGGTGACACGGTGGCTGGGGGTCCCCCGCAGGCACCACTCACCATATCCATCGGTGATCTGGGAGAGCTGGATGGGAGCATCCAGCAGCACCTGGCTGCAGCGCTGGGCCCGGCCCTCATCCCTGCGAGAGAAGAGGAGGAGGAGGAGGGTGAGGAGGGTGTGAGGGCGGCGGGGGCCGGGGCCGGGGCGACCCTTACAGCTGCAGGGTGTTGAAGAGGCGCTGGCAGATCTCCCGGATGGCGCCGTCGTCCTTGGTGTCCTGCGACACCTCCCGCAGCAGCTCCCCCACCGCCTCCACCAGCTCGTCCACCGACTCGAAGTCCGCCCCGTCGCCGTGCAGGATCCCTGCGGGCACACGGCGACCCCGCTGCAACACCCCTCCGCTGGCCCGCTGTCGCGACGGAGGGCCGCGTGTCGCGATACGGCCGACAGGTGGCACCCGCCCGCTCCTCCCTACCCCGCCGCCTGT